TGCTGCGCGCTTTGCGCAGCGAGGGGACCCCGGACACGCACGGTTACCCGAGGAGCACCCTGGCTGTCGACATCAGGCTGAGTTTCCCGGATACCTGGAGATCAGGCACTACTAGGCTCGTGTCCCCGCTGTACAGTGAACGTGGAGGGGACCCGAGCTCCGCTTGAACCCCAGTCCTCGGCTCCCCCCGCCCCGCCTCAGGCCGGTCCCGATCCCGTCAAGCACTCACTCGGCGGCGGCGAGTATCTGCCGGGTTCCTGCATCCATGCCGCCCCGTCTTCTGAATTCTCCGACTTGACCGAGGCCGTCTCGAAGGGCTTGACCAGAGGCCCTGGGCTGTGCGCCTCCCGAGCGCCGTGTCCCGGCAGCAGCAGCGGCCTCAGGCTGGCCCCGGCCGAGACGCTCTCGGCGGGCAGCGGAGACCCCGCCTTGGGCGGCTTCTTGTCGGACATGAGCGCCTCCACGCTGAAGGGCAGGCTGGAGACCTTGACGCGGCGATCCTCCGAGCCCCCCTCGGCGCCCCCGGGCCCGGGGCCGGGCCCTGCCACCATCGCCGGGCCCTCCTCATCGGACGAAAACAGGTCATTGCCTCTGGACGGAGAAGCCATGACTTCTCTGCCCCGCGTAGCTCCGGGCGCGCGACTCCGCTGGCAGTCCAGCAGCCGCGACTCAAACTTTTGGGGGGGAGACGGGAGGGGCGCGCTGGGAGCCGAGCCTTTCCTCCAAGGGGAAGTGGGAGACACAGCGCAGCCAATCAGCGCCTGCCCTGGAGATGACGTCACGAACGCTCGCCTCCGATTGGCTCTTCCCGAAGAGGCTGGAGTTTTGTGTGCTTGTGTGTTGTGTGTGTGTGTGTGTGTGTGTGTGTGTGTGTGTGTGTGTGTGTGTGTGTGTGTGTTTCCCTGTTTGAAATAAATTAGGAGTTAATTACAGGAGCAGTCAGCAGAGTTGTTATTAGACGATCCCTCAAGGGTTATAATCACGCCAAAACTGAAAAGTCCAAGACACAATTAAGGCCGATTATTTAAAGAGGAAGTTCGCTGAGTCCCATTTCTTCTTTCTTTGACCCCTCTTGAAAAGTCATCTTGTTCTCATCCCACTGTTTGCCGTCCCATTGCCTGAATACGCTTAAAATCCACAGTTGGTATTGCAACAGCATTGATGAAGCTCCTACTATGCACCCAAACTGGCCTGATTTTGCAGCTCTAGTAGGCGGCGCTGAAAAGCACGGGCCAACGTCCTTGCTAAAGCAAGTATCAGGCGTGGCCAGCAGAGAAGTGCGGTGTCTTGTCTTCGGCAAGTGCCCCACAGCCTGCACTATTAATATGACTCGTTCTTCGAAAAGGGGGATAAAAAAAAAAGGAAAAGAAAAAGGAAAAGGGGATTAGAGGGGGCCCAAGAGGTGGCCAAGGGCTGCCTTCCCTAAATGATTTATCGTGGAGAAGTTGAGCAGCAGCCCGGTCTCCTCTACTTGGACACACCATTGCTAAGCCCCCGCCGGGACCCTAGGGCACAGAGCTTTTAAAAACCGGAAACCCCGCGTTTCTCGGCCCCAGAATCTCCTCTCTGCATAGATCCGCATCTGATTTTCTCCACCAAACTACCAAATGCAAAGTGTGTCCGTCAGTTTGCGTTTGAGCTTGTTCTGTGTGTTTATGTGCCAATGTTTGCTTTGAAAGGTGAAGACGAGGGAGGAAAACTCGCCCATAATAATATGTAGCTCCTTCTTCCCTCTTCAAAGTCTCAGAAAGACTCAGTTCCACATTCGCACACCCAGGCCCGAGTGCCTCTTGGAAGGCACATTTTTATTCACTCTATCTTGCCAAAATGAAAAGAAAATGAAATTTTAAAAACGCATAGACATCCCTAGCCCACCTCAAATTATACAGCCTCAGGACTGAGCCCCAAACCCTCAGCGATGACTGTCTCAAACAGGGCATTCAGAATGCAGAGGCCTTGAATCTTGCCGCAGCTCTGCAGGCCACCGGCACAACGCGTCCTTCAAGTAACGCTACAGGTGGCAGCTGATTTTTCCTCTATCTGAACCATTATTCTGAGGGGACATGAGGGGTGGAGCAGGTCACACAGCCAATTCTTCCTAAAGTTTCTAGAGCTTTGGAAAGAAGTACTGTGTTTTTAACTATTTAAAAGACCAAGGTTGGGAAGCTTCTTTCACAAACATTTACCTGAAGTGAAACTGTGCTAGTCCTGGGAGAATGAAGAAAAAAAATCTGAATCTTAGGGGTTAAAACAGCCTTCATCGACCAATTACTTCAATTTGAACCTAAAAAAGTTATAAAGTTCTAACTAATCACTGCCTTGTATAAACCTCTAGGTCTCCCTCCACCGCGAAAAACAGGCTGTCCTTTCTCTCCTTCTCCTTCTCCACTTCGTCCTTTTCCTTTTCTTGTCAAACAAACTTGGATCTCAGAGAAAGTTTTGAAAATGACTATGAAGGCTATCTTGAGATGTATGCATTTTCCCCTTGAGTCATACCTGATGATAGTTGGCTTGATATGCATCTCAAATACAGTACAGGTAAACCCAGACCAAGTTCTGTGCCTTCTAGATGCATGAGACAAGATGCTGGCTATATAATTTGGAAGCAAATTTGAAATTCGTTTAGCCCTCAGATGCCAAAGTGTACAAAAGTGTGCAACTTTCAGCTGGACTCAACCCAGCCACATGTTGTATAGTTTTTCCTGCAAATTCATTATTAATATTTGTCAGGTTATGGGTACAGGGGCTCATTCTGGAAACATTAGAAAAGAAACATTCTACAGGCATGTCTTATTTTAATAAACTTCTCTAGGAGTGGAAAAAGCTTCTCTCCTCAGTATGCTAGAGTCTTGGTGTCCAGGCAGAGAACAAAAAGTATAAAGCCAGAAAGAGGAAAATGATAGAAAATTTTTAAAAATAACTAAAATGATAATCAAAGAGCCAGGGTCTGGCCGTGACCAGGAGGTGACCAGCCTCTTCACCGGGTCTTCTGCCGGGTCCCTTTCCACCTTTTGTTGAAGCATAGATCTTTAAAGTGGGAAGGAACTTCTTTCTGAGTGGTCTGCTCCAGCGCTTCTGGAAGGAAGGCTGAAAGCCCTTTATGAGAAGCCCTATCTGTATATTCACTCCCAAGGGCGGCTGGGCTCTCAGAACACTTTAGCACCTCTTCTGACAGCGCGACCTTCGGAAGGCTACTTTGCCTTCTCTACTAGACTTTTTTTTTTTCAATCTCTAAAATGAGAGGTAATTTGTACCTGGGATGGGCTCTTGTGATAATTAAATTCAATAGGTCCCCTAAAACAACCAGAAGGCATTGGGGACCAACTTAAAAAGCATTCTTGGATATTGAAAAAGCAATTTATTGAATGCTTTCTCCCCTCTGGGACCAAAAACTAAGGCCCATCTCTCACCTTCGTGGATCTCACAGCTGGCCCATTGTAAAATCTCCAGGGTCAAGAATTGGTTGATTAATCAGTCAATTGGTTTGAGTATTGTCCCTCAGCGGAGGACTCGCTTTGGCACCTAGGAGATACTCAGTAGATGCTTGTTTCCTAGCAGTGGAGTCATGTTTAGGTAGCTGTAGTGTTTGCAAGTGGAAAAACGGGGTTCTAGTGGGAACTCAGCCGCCATGAAGAACTGCCCGATGCTCAAAACTTAGACCTGTCCACAAGTGCATTTGTTTCTTCCAGCACCGCTTCGGACGGAGATTATTTTCCCCATTTTACAGATGAAATTCTAAAGTAAGAAGCGTTAAACACGCCGCCCAAGGTCACGCAGGTAGAAGGTGGGATCCCCCCAATGCATGGCCTCACCCGCGCGGATCCCCGGATCTTCGCGCCCTATGACTCGGGGGGACTTTGCGCCCAGATCCGGCCAATCGCGGAGCCGCTGCGCACGCGCGCCCCGATTCCCGAGGCAGACACCCCTTGCAAACTGTGGAGCGCGGCGCTCAGACCGCAGCGTCTGAAACCCGGAGGACTGCGGGGATCCCGGAGGCGAGGAGGCGGCGGGGGAGGGGCGGCGAAGGGGGCTGTAGACGGGCCAGGGCTGCGGGCAGGCGCCAGGCGCGGGGAGATGAAAGGCGGGCTCGGGGGAAGGGGCTGCGCCGGGTGACCGGCTCCAGCCGCGCCGGGCGCCCCGCCCCCGCTGCCCGGGGCAGAGGCGGCTGCCCGCGCCGGAGCCGCGTTAATTGCTCTCGGCCCCGGCACTCAGCCTGCGCGGAGCCGGGACAACCTCGCTCCAGGAGGAATGACAATTCGCCCTAATGGGACAACCTCACTCCCAGAGGAGTGACAATTCCTTCTAATGGGCCGCTTGTTAGCGGCCTATTCTCCCGAACCCGGGTATCAGAAGCGGGCAGACAAGCGGGCGCCAACGTCCGCCAGGAATTCCACAACATTGCTCTCCACCCCCCTGGACATTTGCTGTGTGACCCCGGGCACAAAACTGCTCCTCTCTGAGCTCCTGCTTCTTACCTGTGCGAGTGAAGTTGGAGTGGGCAGGTCCAACTGGAGTAGGCCAAACGTCCTACCAGGCACTTAGAGAAGGCCTTTTGGGACTTCCACAGCAAGGAAGCCCCGGAGTGGGGACTTAGAGTCACCTTTTGGGGACGTGATTGTGACATTCTGGACATCTGACCTGTGGGTTGTAGAGAAGGGCCTTCCCCAAAGCCTTATGCATGTTACTGAAACCCTCAACCCTGAGCATTAGTAGGCTCCCCATTTCACAGTTGAGGTGGAGGGGAAGAGGGACAGTGGCTGAGTTGAAGACTAACAGCCGCAGAGCCTAATTCCATCCATGCCTTGAGTCAGCCAGGCTAAGCTGGGGAGAGGGACAAGAGCAGGCCCCAGAAGCTACCTGTTGGCAAGATACTCCCCACAACAGGTGTGAGGGTGGCCTGAGGGAGGAGCCAGGGCTCTCAGCCCTCTCTAGATCCCTATTCAAAGGCAGACCCCATTTGTGACTATTTATCACCGTTGTCTTTGTGGTTTCCTCTTTGCAGACTGAAAGGCTGCTACCCAAGTCCTGGTGCCAGAGCCAAACCTAAAACCAGCAGCATGGCTCTGCCTTCAGCTTTGCAGGGCTCAGTGGGGTGCTTGGAAATAGGGGTGAGTCATTTATTTCTGGTAAGTCACTCCACCTTTTGAGATCACCGTTGTTTCATCTGTAGTAGAGTAGTTATATGTTATTATTATTTGTTAAGTAATTATCAATATTTTTAAACCTCTCCAGTAGGTTTCTGTGGCACTAGGATCCAGGGATGGACCATTGGGTGATCTGTGGCATACCACAGAACTGCAGGTTTGTTGAACTTCTGTTAAATCACTACCAGCTTCTTGAGACAGAAGTAGATTTGCAGTTCAGTCGAGTAAGGGGTGAGGATTAGGGGGAAAATAAAGGGTTTAGATACACAGCAGGGAATGCTTCCTCTCTCCCAGCCCCTGGACACACCTTCCTGGCAGTTTCCTGATCCCTGCTAGGACTGCAGGGTAGTTGCCATGAGCAGGATCCTGGTGGAGAAAACCCCACAGGGCTCCCTGGAAGAGGAAGTTCTGGGAAGCTGGGTGGCTCCAGCACAGGAAACCTAGGGAATCTCCCACTGCCGTGCATACACATGTGCTCTGCATTTCTTCAGCTTCCCCATCTGTACAGCCCGAATAATCACTCAGATGGGGTTGGATTGACAAGAAGGTGTTTGGGTTCTGGTTTTCATGCTGGGGATTGGACCCAGGACCTTAGGCAGTGAGCTTCACGCTCATGCCTGGGGTGAGGTTTTAACTGGACCCCATAACTGGTCCTTCTTACTCTTCAAGGGCCTGTGATGTGGAGTTCCTCACTTCTCTTTAAGCAGAGCAATGAAATTTTGAGCTTGATTACAGGTTTTGTTTATTTTACAATTAGAAAATACCTGGCAGAGATGCAAATCAGGGTTTGGCTGATTCTTACATTTATGTATTTCACCCAAGGCAGAAGTGGCTATAAGTGGGATGGGTCACATCTGGAAATGCTTGCATCACTGAAGAATCCTATTTCCATCTTCCTCCGGCTCAACAGATGGGTTATTGGGTCTGATGTGCTAGCTTACTAAGAGAGGATACACAAGGACAGTATCTCCCAGATTGTAGGATTGTACATTACCAAATAGTTCTACAGGAATCCCCAATCTGTTGTATTTGGTGACCTGTTCATTCCCTCAGCTTCAAAATGCAGCAGACAGGGAATGAGAAAGGAAAGGAGAAGAAAGCTTAAGGACTTCCTTAATCTACCTAATTATATTTTTAATTATGGAAAATAGAATCTCTTTTAGTGGGTCTACCCCCACTCCTTGCTGGAGGGGGAGTGAACAGGAATTGCTTCACCTGGAGAATGAGGACAATTAGAAGCAATCATTCCAAATTTTGTTAGTTTTTTGTAGAAGAGAGGTTGAGGTTTGGGGTTGGGGCCCAGGTTCCAACTGGCCTTGAGAGAGGGGGCTACTGCTCTGAGTGGGTAAGAAGAACCCTAGCTGCCAAAACAGGAAAACTATTTGGGGCTGGGGGGGGGGGTCAGTTGCCTGGATCTGTTATCCACCCATCCCTATTAAAAGCAAAGCAAAACAAAGAGGAAACTGCCCACCTTGAATTTGGTGCACATGAACTTTGCCTAAGGCAAAGGGCTTTCACATCCAAGGCCTTACTTGTTTCTCAGGATGGTACTGTGGCTCTAGGATTCTCCTCCCTCTCACTGCCTCCCTGGCATCACCTCAGGTCAGTAGGATTCGTTTCACTAGCAGGTGTCTGCAGCTCAGAGAGACCTGGGCTCTTCCCTGAGGTCCCCTAGGGAGGAATGCAGAGAGCATATGGGGTTTGTCTCTAGAGCCACCTCGTGCCTTTCATCCTCAGGAACCGCTTCTGGATCTGGGTATACACATACCTAATGCGGGGGTGTGTGTCCAGGATGCACCGCAAATGCACAGGGCTTTGTATAGCACCCAGAGAGCCTCTGGCACAGCAGATGGTCTATAAACACTGACTGAGGGAAATAATAAATCCCAGTGGAAGCTGAGACTTCAGGGACCACTCACTGGAAGGCTATTTCTCTTTATTTCTCCAGCGGCTTTGGCATTTACCTTACATGGTAAAGGCTGGTCTCTGTGTGTTAAAAATTGGGACTGATGTTGAATGGGGGGAAAGGATCTCGGCTGAAGAGGGTAGAATTTTAAACTGTCCATTGGGAGAAGCTGACTGTTCATTCCACGTCAGATTCAAAGAGTTATTAGCCTTTCTGTTAATCATCACATTCGTATGTAAAGGGCGGAGGAAGTTGTCACCTGGCCATGGTCATGCAGAAGGCAAGAAGCCCAGTGAATATTTCACCTCAGGCGAATGGACCTCACTGCAGAGCTGGTTTCTATTTCTCACTCTCCAAGTGGTATTTCTTTTATTTCTGGTATCAAGGAGTCCGAGAGACCCAACATCATCTTTACGCATACTTTATTTATTATTATTTTTTTTGAGACAGGGTCTTGCTATATAATTCAGGCTGACCTCAAGCTCATTATGCAGCCAAGGCTGGCCTCAAACTCACGACAATCCTGCTGACTCAGCCTGAGATTACGTGAGCCACCATACCCAGCTCTATGCTTACCTTAGTAATATTTTAATTTTACTACATCTCTAGATTTTTAAAGAGACTTTTTCTAAGATATAAAAAGACCCAAAAATATTTCAAAAAATATAAACTGATATAGTGTGAGTTTCTGAGCCCTGGACTATAGCAATCAGTGTTATTGAGAGCTTATGTTGTACCTGGCACTGTTCTGAACACAGGATATGGATGAGCCAATTTGATGTTTACAACCACCTTATTTGGTAGAAGTTATTATTATCTTCATTTTACTCAATAGTCTGCTCTACCTGACATGGAAACTCCAGATGAAGTCATGCCCTTTTTAGTTGTGTGTTTGTAAAGAGGTCGTTCCCTCTCCATGTTCTCATCACCCTCTGTGCCTAGAGAAAGAATAGCTACCACCGTTTACATAGAAAAAAGAAATTAGGACGGCAAGGAGAGCTGTATACAAAGGTCATTGAAATGGCTTCAGAACTTTATGAGAGCCACAGACTTTAAAAATTGGTCCTGTTCATAACAATACCACCGTTCACAAGTTTAATATCTCATGTATTATAGCTTGGTAAAAATGGCATGTTTTTCCTTTGTGGCCTTGTTTCACTGCATGGCTTTTTGCAAATGGATCTGCAAAACTCTGTGGGCAGGATGAGAGGACCCAGAGCTCAGGCAAGAATGAAGGCCCCTGAGCCCACCCCTTGCTGGCTGACTTTGAACAGGTTCTTCTGCTCTCTGGGGCCCGCATGCCCCTCACTGGAAAAATTGGGAGGTTTAGTTGTCTTACATGTCCATTCTGGTTTTGTGGTTCTATGATAAAAGGTGAGTGAGTGCCTGAAAAATTCAGCCTGCTCCTTCTTCTGTCCACCATGGGCTGACTAAGATTTCCAGGAAGGTGGAAGCACTGAGTGGAGCCATCACAGGGGTCAGACTAGATAGGCCGGAACCCAGATTTATACTGTACCAGTTGAGTGTCCTCCAGCAACTGTGCCCCCTTCTCTCAGCCAGGGTACATTTTCTCCACCAGAAAATAGGAACTAATAATCCCTGTTTCAAGGGATTAGGAGGATTAAGTGGGATCGCGAATATAAAATTTAAGGAGCACAATTAATCCTCTCTTGTTGCCTGCTGCTGGTTTCCCAGGTGAGAAAGGAGGAAAGTATCTGAATCAGCAGATAAGTGGACTGGGAGGAAACATGGTCGATCATTGTTAATGATCCAATGAGAGCTAACACAGTTGGTGTAGAAGATTGCAGAGAGGCTTACAGAGATCACGCTTGCTAAAAATTCATGGGGCCTTTGGGCAGCACAAGAAAGCTTTACTTAAGCTGCCACTCAAGTCTTCCTGGAGAAAGGCTTTTGGAGAGTCCTTGGACCCAGTAAGGTTGAAGCACATGGCAATAAAGTGATTCCATTTGTGGCGATTTGTACGCCCTCTCATCATGTTCAGGAGACTGTCTGGGTACAAGGTTAACACCGACCCGATGATTGGTAACATCTCTGTGGATGTAGCACTTGGCTCCCACCCTCTGGAGGTCACAGCACGGGGCTGGAAAATGACTGCGGTGTTCATTTCCAATCTACTTATTTTCAGAGCCTACTTACCTGTGGTTTGATAAGTCATACTATGACATGCATTTCACTTTAAAAGCTTCTTGGTGTTTTAAAATAGGAATTTATTTAAAGTTAAACATTAATTTAAAAATAGCCCTGTTGTTACTGGGATAAGGCCAACAACCATGATTGTTCTTAGACAAGGGAACAATCATGTAGGTGGATGCCTGAAATTCGGGTTGACACTGATTTACAGAACCGAACACAACTTTTTGCTGCAGCTCAGAATCTAGTTGGAATCCAGCTCTACCTCCTTCTTGCTGTATGGCCTTGGGCAAGTTACTTCCCCTCTCTGAACTTTGGCTCTTTTATCTGGGCCACAGGGATCATTCTGACCTCCCTGGTCTGCAGAAAGAATTTACTATAGAGATAATTGAGGGTCCTCACATTTTTTATTATTACTATTACTACTACTATTGAGATCACAGAGGACACAGAAGCATTTGCCTGGATGTATGGATTGTCAGGATTACTAGTAAACAATGACCAGGGGAATTTGGTCACAAGTTTATTTACCCTGGATCCAGTTATCTACTAGCTTAGCAGTAATTGCAAAAGAGGAGAGAATTCTTTGAAAGCTGAATTCTGTTTAAAAGTCACTTACCTAGTTCAGTGGGTGGATGAATGGATTGTCATCCCCCAGTCCACATGTCACAGTACTTACAGAATATCCATACTTTATAGCAAAATTAATATGCATCTAAGTTGTAAAGAAGGCATGGAAATATTTTTATTTATGCTTTCCATGAAGAATGAAACACATTGCCTAATGTCCTTTTTTATTTTCTTCCTTTCATCCACTTTTCCTACTTCCTTCCCCTTCCTCTTCCATTCCTCAGGCAGCTGTGTCCCTGATTCGGGGCTACTCAGACAGATCCCTGACTTGAGAATCTCCAGTTTGGCTGGAAGGTAGCTCAGGTGGAACACATGGGGCCTTGGATTCAACCCCCAACACTGCCACAAACAAATTAGCTAAAAAAAAAAAAATATATATATATATATATATATAACACGCTCTGGGAGACTGAGGCAGGAGGATCACTGTGAGTTCATACCTAGCAAGTTCATACATAGTGAGTTCATACATAGTCTGAATTACTTGCAAGACTCTGTCTCAAGGTGGAGGATTGCTAGAGATATAACTCAGCGAAGTATGGGGGTTCAATCCCCATACTTAAATATAAAACAAAGACAAAAAAACAAACAACATGAAACAAAACCTAAGAATCTCACCCTCCAGTGGAAATTCAGAGGTACCAAGTACCCAGTTACCCGAAGAGATGTCCAAGGGACTGTGCCAAAGCCAGGTTCACTTTATCCCATGTTTTCTCTGTACTGTCACAGGGTTGGCCTGAAGACATCTTATTAAGCATTTTATTAGTTGCTCACAGTTAAAATCAGGGATCTTTCCACAGAAATTTGGAATTCTGACTTCTCTGCATCCTCTGAGGTGAGTGGCCCTAGTGTTTGGAAGTGCCGGGTCCCATTAGGCAGGATCTGAGTGCTTCAGCTCCCAGAGTTGGAGAGTGGCCTGCCACAGAACACAAGGGCATAAGAAGGTGGTGGTGAGCGTGCAGTTCAACCCTGAGAGGCAGAGAAGGCTGCTTGGAGGTATAACTTTTAGGCTGAGTTTTGCAGGATTTTGCCAAGATGGAAAAGGGGAGTTTCTGGGTGAACAATATGTAAAAAAGCAGGAGAGTTGAAATGACTTGGTCTGTGTGATCCAGTGACAAGAGAGCCTGGAGAAATTGCATGTGGGGCTGCAGACAGGCTGGGGGGAAGGCACTATGGGACCTGCTGCAGAAAGCAAAAATCTCCCCTTCCCTCTTCTCCCCTCCCTTTCTCTTTTCTTTCTGTCACCTTCTATTAAATCCCTTTTTTTAGAATTTCAAAAGCACTAGGTATTCACCAGAATCGTGGAAAGGAATCAAAGATACATAGAAGTGAGCAATCTCCCTCCATTCTCTGGACAGACTGCCGCCCAGGATAGCTAACATTAACAATTTCATGTGCATCCCGGGACACTCCTATATATATACAAATACATGAAGGTGGAAATTGAGATGTTACCTTTGTGTGTGTGTGTGTGCACAGATGTGTGCCAGCACGAGTGACATGCTACTCACTCTGATTTGCTTTTCTTCTTTAATTCATATCCCAAGCATCTCATCGTGCCATTAGATATAAATCTAATCTGTTCCTTCTCTAGTCCACCCTAGGGATATATGATGAGTCACTTAACCATTTCCTTGTTGGTAGAAGTTACATTTTGTCCAAATTTTTACCATTGGCAATAATTCTTGCGGGGGGAGGGGGGCTTTTGCACACCTTCATCCTGGTACTCTTATTGTTGAAGGTTTATGTTCTCAAATTGAGACTGCTGGACCTAAATGTGTGTATTTTTAACCTGAATAAAACCTTGCTGGGTTATTTTTTAAAAGCCCTGTTCCCGTGCACATTCCCACTAGCAGTGTCCAGCTTGCTCTCAGTTCTGCCTGCACTGGGGATCATTGCTCAAAGAAATGGAGTTGCCCTGTGTCCTTAGGCTGGCATGGTGGGTCTGAGCGCTCAGAGTGGAGACAGAGAGCAGCCTAGCTTCCTGCTGCCCTTGTGTATCTGCTAGCATGTCCCTCAGTGGCCAAATACCCTACGCCCTGCTGAGAATTGGATTTCAGATCAGCAGCCCAATTAGGTTAGTTAGGAGAGCAGCTCGACTTCGTGTGCTTAGGTCCTGGCTGAGGGGCCAGGGATGTGGACAGTTGCACTTACATACAGTGCAAGCCTTGGACACCCACACAGCCTTCCAACTAAGTCACTGGTGAGTTTACAGAACAGCTGGATAATTAGCAGCGTTGTTTCATCTAATCTTAAAGGATTTGCCTTTCAGTTTAGACAGTTGCATTTGAAAACAGGTGTATCAGATGCATGAATAGCAAAATCACAAGGCCTGGGCGCCCGAGAAGGGACTGGGTGGGCAGGGGCTGGACTCAGCACATAGGTTCCTGTTGGTGTCCGTGGCAGTCTGACTGTGAAGCTTTTCTTCTGCCTTTGTTCTGTTGCTCTCTCTCTGTTTCTGCCTTTTTCTTTGTCTTTCTCAACACCTGGAAGGGAACAACAAACTGCTTTTCTCATAGACCCTTGTAGTGTATTTGAGGCTCCTGGTAAGTTCTGGACCAACTTGGTGAGAGGGTCTCCTTGCTCTGTGGAGGAATCAGAGATTGTCACCAGCATAAGATATCCTGACCAGCCTGAGTGTTTGTTCAGCCTTGAAGTGGTCCACAAGGGTGCTCAGTCTTCCTGGACAGTGAGTCCACCTGACTTTGTAATACGCTCTGTTCTCTAAGTAGCAGAATGTGGACTGAGAATTCTACCCGTGGTATGACCGCTTAACTGATTCTTAAACAATCACATGAATCTCCAAGCTTATGGACTCCAGAAGTACTTACCAATCTTGGACATTAAAATGTGAGAAACTGATTACCTGTTCTGACTTTGACAATGTATCCTAAAGTCAGAAACGCAGGTCTGTTCTTTGAGGAAGCAGACTGTGTCTGTGAGTTCATCATCTCTGTCCTGGACAGTGCTGCTAGAAGATGAATAGAGGCCAAAGTCAGACAGAAATGTGGAGCTATGTGACCTTGTGTAAGTCACTTAACCTCTCTGATTCTTAGTTTCTTCCTCTTTAGGATGGGAAGCGACAATACCAACCTCAAAGAATTGTTGAGAGTATCCCATGATGAACTAGAACGAGCACTTGTCTGTTCCTGGAACCTAGTAGACACTTAATAAATGGAAGTGACAGTTCTGGAAAACCATTGACTGAAATGACTAACAGAGGCCAGCTGATGACTTAAAAAGGAGGAGGAGGGGATGGAATTGTTTTCGGCACCCATCCTCCTCCATTGCTGAGGCTGGCTCTTGGTTACCTAGGCGACGCCGCACAATGTGAGCCGGTGCCACTGTGTGCAGCTGCCCGGCTCCTTGCGCTTGTGCACTGCGCGTGATGGAGCCAACTTGGCCACTGGTTGACACTAGCAATAAGTCAGCTCTGGCTATGGCAGAGGTTGTGGGGCAAAGGGCTTAATTCCCACAGTGACAGGGAGTGCAAAGTCTGTTGGTGCAATATTAAAATAAACAATCGCACATAATATTTTAAATAGTAATAATTAATGTAGCAACAACCACAAAAAACAAAACTGAAAACCAAAAGCCAGTCAGTGCCAAGGAGAAGGGAGTTTCCCTGATGTGTTTATAAACATCGGAGAAAAAGAAATAAATAAAAGGAAGAGAGAAGCAGCCCAGAGCAATTTCTGGGCTCACCCCTCTGTTCTTCCCAGAATGTGTTTCTCATTACAAGAGGGGAATACAGGCCACACATGGGCAGAAAGAAACTATGCAGACAGGAAAGTAATTGGGGGTGTCAGGGTCGTGGGATAAATCTGTGAGTTTGTTCTCAAATGTTCTCTCACTTTCACAATAATTTTTTTTTAATTAACTCTAAGTCAAAGTCAAATTGCAACTTACTCTGTTGTGATTTCCTGTAGGACGTGTCCTTCCATTTACTCCAGGAAAAGAGTGAGGTAGTTTTGATCTTGAGCTCTATCCTAAAGTCAGTTCCATATCCATCCTACTTGGATTGGGTTGACTTAAAATTTGGACGCTCCTTTCAAAAAGGCTTTCCTGATTGGCCTATTGCAGCACATGTGGAGGAGGAAAATGAGAGGGAGGAGGCCACCATCTCATGGCCCTCAACTGTCAGGTGGGGACACTAAGACACACAGAAAGCAAGACATTTGCTCGAGCTTAATCAGTTGTATCGTGAAGAGTTCGCTTCCAAACTCCAGCCTCATGAGTTTGGGTTCTTTTTCAAACTCTACAACTGGAGCCAAAAATAATTCTTTTTCTTGGAAAATGCCCCCTGCTAGAGTCTCCCAGGCAATATGGGGACCAAGATTGCAATATTTATATCCCTGATTGTAACATGGCATTACAGGAGACTCTCACAACTTGAAAAGGGGGCCTACGTATAAAAGTATCTCTGTGCCTCTCCACTTCTTTCTTTCTTTCTTTTAGTGAATCATGCATTTTCATTGTTAAGAAATCTTAAGTGTCATAAAAGTGATCTGGATAGAATGCAAAGGATTGGGTTGGAAGGAAAGTGCAGATTCCCTTTGTCCACAACATTGGTTCTTTGGTAAATATTTACCTAATCCATTTCTTCTTCCTTGTTTCCCTTCTCCTTTGACAAGAATGTTCCTCCACCTCGGCAGCCACAGTGGCCCTGTTGGAACAGACGACGTTCAATGTTTCCATCATAAGGCATGTTTTTCTGGGGTTTATTACTCAGCTGTAAAAATGTGCTCTAGGCAAAAACTTGGCATATGAAGTCTCATCTCAGAGGTAATTGGTGGGGATTAAAAAAAACCTTTTTTCTTCTTTTTTACAGACAATCTTGGAAAGGGAAACAGAAAGGTCAAGAATTTACTGTTGGAATCTATGGGTTTTGCCCCCATGGGTCCCCCACTCACCCCCATTGGTTTGGTTTGCCCTGTATTATTTTCAGACTCCTCTAAGCAGACATCAGAGGGAAAGTTGTAGAGGCTTTAATGGCAGGCATTCATTTATTTTTCCTTCAGTAAAGATTCACTGAGTGCTTACTGTGTACCCAGCACGGTGCTAGTCTCTGAAAGGACAGTAGTAGGTGCGAGTGCAAAAGTGTCTTGGTTCTCACAAAAGTGGTGCATACCCATCCTCACATATAAACCTCACACTTAAGAGATGGGGTAAAACTTTCGTTTGTAAGGGCTGGGAATGTGGTTCAGTGCAGAGCACTTGCCTAACATGAGCGAGGCCCAGGAGTTACAGCACTTCAATTTGTAGTTCGGTGGTTGGAGTAGACACAAATCGGTGAGAGGTGCAATGCCGGGGTCCTTGCTTGAGACAGGCTGGCTTGGGAGGGTATTTGGGAAGGGGATGAGGCGAGTACAATACACAGGAAGTCTGGGGAGGAGGGGCTACTGACAGGAAGAGAGAAAAGCATGTACAGTGGCTGAAGGGGTGTGGTGTGCCGGAAGAATACATGGAAAGCTCCCTGCTTCAGGACTAGACTGAACTGACAGAGAAGGGTTGAAAGGAGATGCTATTGCAGAGCATGAAGAGAAATTTCAGCACCCAGCTTACAGCACTCAACAGAGTAAGCTAGCAATCCTGAGTGTTAGGTTCCAAGCTATGTCCTCTGTACTCTTCTTTCAGGTATGAAGGGAAGTCATAAAGGATTGCTCAGCACAGCATAAGGTGATGTAACTGTGTCTGGCAGATCTTTCTGGCTTGTGTGTGGGAGATGGAAGGGAGGGAATCAAGTGAGGGAGTAGGAAGACCATGACAGATCTACTGCCATATCCCTGTATGAGTTCCTCATGGAGTGGGCTGGACCAAGAAAACATCAGAGATGGGAGATGACAGGAAAGGTGTGGACTTGAGAGTGGCTCATGGAGAAGTGGACAGCAGCTGCTGCTTGGTGGCCTGGAGGAAAGGGGAGGCTTAGAGATGACCTAAGGGTCCAGCTGGAGTCATGACTGAATATGCGGTCATCATTAGAGGAGGAAAAGGGCAGGAAGAGGAAAAGGAGGAAGAGGAGTTGAGAGCAACTTCCTGGTTTCAGGCTTGACCCTCTGGGTCATTTGATGTTGAAGGTCATGAAGAAGAGATCATTGGAGATCAGCAGGTCCAGACCTATCTCTTCCATTTTCTAGCTGGGCAACCGGGGGCAAGTTATTTTGCTTCACTGTATCTCAGTTTGTTTTCTAAACCATGAGACTAATTATAGAGGCCTCCTTACAGGCCATTTTGAGCATCCGGTGAGTTCATCTGTGTGAAGCACTCTGAATAGCACATGCTCAGGTGGCCTCTGAGTAAAATTCATCTCTGGACATGGAATCCTTCCCTGGGTAGGTGTCTATGGTGCAATAGCCCTTGTGAGCTTCCTGTCTGCTGGAGGGCATAGCTATTCAATAAAATAATAGGTGATAACACACTGTGATGATAGCTATGGAGGAAAGGTGCAGGAACCTACAGGAAAGAGTCATAGAGGGATGGAGGGTTTGCATGAGTGATCAGGGAGGGCAGGAATAGGAGGTTACTAGGCAATCTGTGGGTGCCTGCAAGGAAAAGTGTGTGTGCAGATGCGGTTCACCCCAGATCTGGGGAACAGTTAGTGGCCCAGAGTTGGGACAGTGTCTTAGAGAAATAGAGAGCCTAAAGAGTGTGTTAGGAGCAGGTTGGGAGAATAATCTGTGCTATATTTTAAACCACCACCACTTTTGTGGCTTTGAATGAAGCTAATCTGGGTGTGCATCAGGAAGCAGGGACCAGGCACCAGTGGATTCAGAAAGACCCTAAAACAGAGGCAGAAGCTACAGATCTGGCAAGAAATGATGGTAGTGAGGATGGTGGTGATCGTGAGGTGGAGAACAGTGGAGATGCCTGAGAAAGATTTGACAGCAACTCCTTCTCTCCAAGACAGCCATAATGATTTACTAAAACTGCAAATGTAATTTTACCACTCTTTTCCTGAAATCCCATCAGTGGCTCCCTAGTATTCTTTTGGGACTACCTGTATTTCCTGCCTTGTCTGCCTGGTCAGTACCCTTCCACTCTATACTACTTGGACTCATCTTCCCCATGCATCTGTACCCCAAGCATCTTGACTTTCTCTTAGATCTCAGGTTGCACCTTGCTCCTTTCCTCCACAGGATCTTTGCACATGCTGTTCTCCTCTCACACCCCCAGAAACTTATTATCCCTCTCCAAACCCCAATTCCAACCTCCCTACTTACCTCTTTCTATTGTGAAGCTGAATACCCTCCCTATTAGCTGGTGCTCACTGCAGGAATTCAAATGTGAATCAGGCCTTCCTGGGTTCCAGTACACAGATCAATACACTATAGTTTATCCATCATCTGCAATGATCTGTAGCCCTCTGTAGTCCTTCGTGCTCTCCTAAGTCCCGCTCAGTGTGATTAGCTAGCTTGGCTGGGAAAGTGAGCCATGGATATTGGATTCAAGGATACTTAGGAACTGCACTTCACTTGCCTTGACATTTGATGACCCTGAGGTCCCGAAAGTTAATCAGTTGCTTGAGGTCACTCATCTGTCAAGTGCTGGGTGTGGATTTGAAGAGAAGAGTTCAGTCCTCCATCTGATGGGAGGCTCTGCCCTTTGTCTACCAGATTGGATGCCCCCTTCACTGGGCATCCAGCCCTGACACTTCCTCTTAGGGTTGGCTGAGTTAAATCAGGGGTGAACCTGGTGCCTGTCTTTTCAACTGAAAGTCCAGTGTCCCCTGGTAGAGCTTGGCAGTTGCCTCCCAACAGCTTTTCAATCTCATGCTCTTTTGAACTGGTAGAGAGGGGATGCTTTGCCAATTGCATGCTTGACTCTCTCTCAGAACCTCGCCTCTTATACTGGGCATGGATTGGTGAAGCAAGAAGAACTTCAAAATGGCAATCAATGATAAGGCAGAGTAAAGTCTTGGTCATTTCCCACCTCTCTTAATTCTCAGCCAAGACCTTGAGAACCATTGAATGTAGCCTGGCCAGACCTTGTATGATTGACAATCAGAGCAGGCTCAGTCTCATGGTACTTGTGTCTAATATGAACCATAGACACCTAACCCTGCGGACCCAGGACCTCAGTCCAGTGCCTGCTCCTTGGACTCCAGGATGGGGCTGCTACCTTCCTCTTTGTGTTCGGTCTCCTAGGTTCCTAGCTTGGGTGTAGACCATTCTCAAATGCCCCTGAGCTCCACCCAGATCTTACTGATTCAGAAAGTCTTGGTCCTTCAGCCCCGCCACCACCTTGTGTCAGGGACCAACATGCGGCTCAGCCTCGCCTGAGAACACTGCTTGCTGATTGTCACACACCTGTGACAGCGGTCCTGCCCTAACTCAATCCGAGGCCATGAAATCAGAGTTGGCCTTGAAATCATAAATCATGATTTCAAATCAAGAAATCATGAATCTGTACTTGTAAGAGTTTCCTGGGGGAGACCCTTAAAGCAAATACAAAACACAAACCTGCCACAAAAAAAGATGACAATTTAGTTACATAGTAATGAAAACTCTAGAAAGAGAAATAGTAACAAAACAAAATGAAACAACTGATAAAGCTACAAAGGCAATTCACAACAATGGCAAAACAAAACAAAAAAAGTAAGTGTGTGTGTGTACACATGCATGTGTGTGTGTAAAATCAAAACAAATTATCTGGCATTTGTAGAAATAGAAATAAAAAATGTAAACATATAAAGCAATATCCAATCTCCTTGCTCTTTTGTGATCAAAGAATTGTAAGGCAAATAACTGGTGTTGTCTTGTGTTGTGCTGATGTTGTCAGTGATGATGGAGCATGGCAGCGAGGGTCAAGGGGCAGTTATTTCCTTGTCCTTCTGTTGGGATTGTGCTGCGTGCAGACAGACATCAGAGTGGCATGTCTAGCAAAGGTGAAGCAGACATGCTCTTTAAGCTTACAGTGCCCTGGTCGGCATTCACTTACCTGCAGGACAGAAGAATGAAAAGATCTATGCCCTAGGATACTCATAGCTGTGTTCTTGTGATATTGAGAAGGATAAACAGCTTACCTGTCCATACTAGTTGATGCTTGCTAAATAAAGGATGGCCCAGTTCTACAACAGAATATCAGGATTAAGTAATCCCTGTCACCATAAATAAGAGAGAAATTTAGTCTGCAGGTGTTTGTTGAGCATTTTAGGTACTTGGCGCTTTCTGAATACATTCAGGGTATGAAAGATCAAGAAGGGAATCACACAGACCAAGTCCTTGAAACCAGTCTTATAGAGAAGACCATGTAATCCCACCCCTGGGTTTACATCCAAGAAAATGATAACCGTAAGTCATGGAGACGTCTGCCC